AATTTTATTTTTAAATTTTTAAATTTAAATTTTTTTATATTTTTTTAAAAAAAAGTTTAAACAATGGAATTAAAAAAAAAAAAAAAAAAAAAAAAAAACTTGTTAGTCTCTAAAGTATTTAAAATATAAAAATAAGCAAAGTATATGACTAACTGCAATACTTATCTGTCTATAATCCTTAATTCTATATACCAACTCTTTTAATTATAAAAAATTTTACCTTTGAATATGTCTACTAATTCAACACCTCAAAACGTTTTGTGTCTCAAAAACCTTACTTTAAATATCCTTAAGAATGGCTCCTCAGAAGTTATTGCAGAAGGTGTTAAAGTTCTAGAATTAGATCTATGCTCAAAGTATAAAGAAGAGCTTTTTTTATATGAACTTAAAAAACCATTTAACATACTTATCTATAGACATATATATCACCATAGTTGTCTTGAGGATTATGTAAAAGATCTCTTACAATGCTCTGAATATGCAATAAAAATTGAATATATTGATTATATGCATTATTCTGATACTTCTGAACCTAGTTCACAGAATCGGGCACAGAATACCTCAGACTTAATGCAAATTTCGCTACAAATGGTATAAATAACATCTGATCAAAGCCAGAATATAGTAACCTCAGATACAATATATATTTTTAACCCAACCTTATCACATCTCTTATTATATTCAGACTAAACAAAACAGATCCAAAGTATTAAATCAAAATCTAAAAAAAGATTATATGAAAAAGGTATAAAAAAAAAACCTACAAATCTAAAAAAATTAATTGATAAGTTGACTACTGAAAATTTTGATTCTGCAGAAAATATTATTATCATGCAGTCAAGTTCAATACCTGTTAGTGAAAGTGACCTTGAATCGGTTGATTTTTTTAGTTCATATTACCAGGTTGTAAAAGCTGAAGATAATAGTAAAAAAACTATTCAAGATGTTATTAGAGCCTATTATAATTTTGGTCAGGATCTTAAAAAACGTCTTAAATATCATAAAAAAAATCACAAAAAACAAGTTGCTCAAATCCTAGTAATGATGAAGTTAGAAGCAAATTTCCAAAAGAAATAAGTGATAATGCATTATGCAAAAAAACAGAGCGAGCTTAGAAAATATATTATTTTTTTGATGCTATAGGTGAAAATAAAATAGATAAAATTAGATCTTTTAATGCATCATCTATTTTTAAATTAAGTCAAGAACATATTGATTATGTAATACTTAACATTACAAAAAATCAAAATGATATTTTACTGCACCTAGTATAACCATGACACCAGTGTCACACTCTCTTTAAAAATAAAAATATTTACATATATACTAGTATGCTTAAAAAAATAAAAAAAGTGATGATAGGATAAAAATACGTATAGTAAAATTTTTTGCATTTTATAAATACTAATTAGTAGATCTTATGAGGCTTATTATTATGCATAATGTTTGTAAACAGGCCACAAACACAAGTGCCACACATTACAGGTTTGTACGTACGTATAATAAAAAAAATTTTAGCCATGTATATATTATTTTTTTATCAAAAGAATATGCTTAAAT